TTTTCTGTTGCCCAGGTCGTTCCGATGTTCGCCATCTCCGAGAGACGAGCGAATCCGAAGGTTCGGGTCTACACGTATCCATCCATCAATAAAGTATCCGACTGTGTTTACAGAGAAAAAAATTGGACTGGATATATCTCAAGTGCCTTTGCAGGAACTGATTATCTGCTTACTCTCACTTCATCCCCGAGTTTCAAGATGATCGTGTGGCTGTGGAGAACAGGAGAATGCGTAGCGACAGTTAAAACTGGAATTACTGACGAATACCAGACTCTGTAGTGAGTAAAACCAATAACTCGAGACCTAAAAGACGTAGCGCAAGTTATCTCAGAACTTTTCAATAGTTCAGATAGTGCTCTATTGAAAAATCCTCCTTTTAAAGTCGTTGTTACTCGAGAAATAACTCAAAATACATGGATGAAAGATTAATGTGAAGTTGAAAAAGTTCTGAACCGATACAAGCAAATTAAAAAGAAATCCTTTCCAATAGCGTGCGCTTTTATATCGCCCTAGTTTTCAAAAAAATACTGCTGTCTTCCTGAGATTCGCCGATATTCCCAAACAACTCTCGATTTTCCAATTCCAATTTTCAGTTCTTCTCCAACGTCTCCAACGCTGATAGCGCAGCTGGGGGTTCCCTCTGGTCTCATGAACGTCTATGAACTGAACATCTGCTCGAAGATCGTTTCCCTGGTGCTGTCCTCCCAGGACTCTAAACCCGAGAGGATCACATCAGCCTCCTGGACGTACGACGGGAGCCTTTTGCTGTCGGATGACGTCGGTAACGTCTACCTCACTCCAACTGACGGAAAACGTCGTCACCAGGTCCTCCAGCGACTCGAGACAGCCCCTCAACCCCCAGGACCTCTTCTGGTTGCCTTCCGGGGTGGAGTATCCGTCGCAAACACCTCTCCAAACCTCTTCGTAAGTCACCAAAACCAGAACGAGAATATTCTCAAAAGCTTGAATGTATAAAGTTCTACAGGAAATCCCCCACCGGGAGGGTCAAGTCCGGGGGTTCTTGGAAAATCATCTGGGAAATTGAGATCAACTCCCCTGTGTCTCACCTCTCTCGCCATCTCCAGAGAGACAGCATTCTCTTGTGCTCCATTAAAGGAGAAATATCAGAAGTCAGCGTTGGGGACGACGACATTCCCAGGCTCCAGATTATCTGCCAGCAGGGCTCTGGATATTTGTTTCTAGCCTCGGTGTATCCTGGACGATTTATTACCACTGTCGACGGTTTTCATAGATTACATTTGTTTGAGAGCCACACTGGAAAATTAACTGGGAGAACATGTCTCGAGGAATATGGAACAGGTCGAGATATTACAGGATTATTTCAGTAACAAAGTCGTCAAAAGATTGAGATGAGTTAAACTAGACAAAAATTACCAAATTAAGGCTCGCACGTACTACATCTATCGAACGTAATCTTTGATTTGAACTTAATACTATTAGCCGATAAATTTTTTAATTTGAGTTTCAAATTGTATTGTAGGAACGACTCTAATTATTATTAAAAAATAGGGATATGGAAGATCAAAAATTGAGATATTGATTACAAGAGATTGGCCGAGTTTACAAAAACAATAATTAAAAGTACGCAGATTATGACCAGTAACATTTGACAATTTGTTTTAAATCTATATTGTTACTAACTATTTAGTTTATTCTTTTTTTTAGACAGTAAATGCGGGACTTAATTTAATTTTCAAGTTTATGTAATACATTATTTATTATTCCAATCGATCAAGTCAGTATAAATTACCGGTCTTTGTTGATAGGGAAACCTGTTATCTTTCAAATATAATCAAATATGAGTTTTGCTGATCCCTGAATTT